TTGCACTGGTTTTCTTGTACTTTGTTAAAGTAGAGAATGACTAGGAAAAAGGAAAAGTAACAAACAAGGCTTATACATCAGGTACTTTTCTTTATTTGTAGTAATTTACATTTTTCTGAACTACTGTATACAATATCACTATTATATTTTTCTCAAGAATAACATGAGTCTAATGGGCTGGAATTAAAATGAAAGTTTAAGTTATATTCTGAATGAAGGCATAAACAAGTAAAATTTTAAGAATGTAAACAGTATTAAATTATAATTTGACTAAATTGGAAACATCAATGACACTTGATTTCACACTTGGTTTATCATTTCTATCTGAAGTAAAAACCTAAACTTTGTTTAGTAAATTGTTTTTTTATACCAAGACTGTATGAACTTTTCCAGTGGAATTTGTCAAAATGTTATTCATCAAATCTAAGTGTCTCTTCACCAAACGATATTAACTAGAGGGTACCAATGAAAATCTAGAAATTTAGTGAAATAAGAAACCTCAGTGAAAAACTTGATACATTAGTAATGACTTCCTCAGTTTCAAAGCTCACCCTGGGGAAGGGGAGATGGCTGCTTTTCCAGAAAACCTGAGTTCTATTTCCAGCACACACATGACAGATCACAACCACCTATAACTCTAGTTCTAGGGGATCTGATGCCTCTCTGCCCTCTGTGTTCACCATACCTCCATGTGATGCATAAATATACATGCAGTCAAACTACTGATACACATGAAATAACAACATAATTAAAAATAATCCAAACCCACACCAAAACCTAAATAAATGCATGCATTAGTAAGTAAATAAAAATCAAGTCAAGAGATGTTCTATTTTTTCCAGTAAAATCAAACTCTCCTTCTCATTACATTATTACTTTGGTTTCCAGGATTGAGATCTTACTTTTTCCACCTAAAACTCTTTACTGTTTGTTTCTTGTGGTTTTTTGCTTCCTTTTTGCACTCTCCACTGCTCTCCATGTTCAGAAGAAGTCTTTCTGCTCAGACTGTCAAATTCTTCACAGTTGCTACTTCTGCTGGCATCCTGCCACACTTGAGTGAATATCCAAAACAGGGTACTTGGTGACTTTTATGAAACTTATGTATTGCTGCCTCTGGGTTTCATTCCTCTGCAAAAAATATAAGTACATGTTTCCGCACTGCATTAGGATAGAATCAAATATATTAATGACATAGTAAAACATTTCATTTGATAGAAAATTTTATTTTATCGTTGCATTTAAAAGAAATTAAAAGTTTCATGTACTCCTAAAATTATTATGTGCTTTAGGCATTGCACCTTCTAAATTTGATGTAGAGCTCCTCCAGTCTGGAAACACTATAAGGAGTGTCCATTGCTTATAGACTCCTTTTCCCACCTAGCCTCTTACTCATCACATGTTAGCTACTGCTAGACTTTAGAGACGTATGTCACATCCAAGGGAAAGGGTTTTTCAACAAAGCTATTCTATGCACATCTCTCTTTCCATAGATAGCCATGAGGTTCACTCTGTTATTTTAATGTCTTCCTGATGACTGCATATAACATAGAACCCCGCTCTCTCACCAGCATCTCTGCCAGTGTCCCAACTCCTCCGTCTCTTGGGTTATTGTTCTACTATCAACTTGTGTGAGGTCAACTTTTTATAGAGTTTTCATATGAGTAAGACAGAAAGAATATGTTTAGGAGTTCTGTGATGCAGAGGGGCAATAAAAGCTGCAGTAATGAATGATACCATGCAGCGGTTGCAGGGGATTCTGACTATATTTAACCTGAAGAAGTGATACCACTGGAGAGAGGAAGGGGATGAGTGAGAAGGAGTGTTAGAAGGATGGAAAAAGAGAGTGGTGAAGGATGATCCTTAAAGCAAGTATGTGTAAAAATACCATAGTGAAAGCTACTAGTTTGAATGCTAATTAAAAAATGATAAAGATAAAAATTTAAAGTGTGGTATGTGTTTATGGCTCTGAGTTCAGTGTCCAATGTGTCCATGAATTAATGTCACATTCCAGCTCATAAATAATATATTTCCTTATGTTAAACATTGTTTTTCTACTTCCTTCCTTCTAAATTGTGATTTGAAATACTTTCACGGCATGTATTAGATTCTTGCAAAATAAGATATTAGTGTTGGAAAGCCAGGGATGGTGTGCACTGGTTCACTAGTAGTCACATGTTCTCCTGGATCTATTGTCCTTATGTGTAGACCTCGTCTTCAATTCAAGACTTTAAAGTCATAGTAAAAGACTTTGCTTTCTCATCTCTTACTAGAAGCCAAGTGACTTTACTTCTTCCTATTCAAATTCATAGAGACGTCAGGGCAAATATTAGACTAGATTTAGATTTATTTCCTGTATATCATTCAACCAGAGCACCATACTTCACTGACTGCTCTCATAATGACTGTACTTGAAGAAGCAGCTGGAATGGACTAGGACTTAATTTCAGTGCAGCTCTTTGTGTGACAATAGCCCCGATGACTTAGACCATCATATGAAAGTGGGAATAATAGATGCACTTACTGTTTTGAAGGACAATCTATGTGTGTGATATGAACAACATAAAGATTAAGCTTCTGTTTTTACCCTGTTACCTAATCTCTACTCTTTTTAATTTTATTCTGCTTTTCTCATTTCTCTTCTTAGCGTTTGCTTTCCATTAGCACTTTAATATCTCTTCTTTTCTCCTCTCCCCTTTCCTCCTCCACTCCCCTCTCCTCCCTTCCCTTCTCTTCTCTTGACCCTTCTCTTCTCTCCTCCTTCATCTGCCTTCTTTTCCTTTCCCTTCTCTTGTTTTTTCCTCCTCCCATCCTCTTCCTCTCCTTATTTCCTCCTCCCCCTCTTCCTCCTCCTCCTTCTTCTTTCATCATCTTCTACCTTTCTTTCTCTCTCCCTGTCGTAATGTGTTGACACTTTATGCTAAGAAGTAAAACAATGAATGGTCAAAATTATTCTAGCAATAGCATGGTGCCATCATAGCTAGATTCTATGGAGTTGTGTTGAAATTTTACAGTACTTCTGATAAGATAAACAGAGCTTAATCTCTGCTGCTTTTCCATAAAATTATGTAACTTATAAAAATGTTAAGACTAAATTCATTATGTGAGTTTGGACAAAACCTGCAAAGCTTCTCTAAAGGATTGACTAAAAGATAAAAATCACAACACATCTGGGTGTGGGAGAGATAACTGGAAAGAGAGATGAGTTCTGGTTCACAAACTTGGAAGGTTTTGAGTTGACTTCATGTACCTGACCACAGGGGAAGTCATGAATCTGTTGAAAATCCGTTGAAAACAGATGTACAGTGGAAATAGTTTGACCCACTAGGAAGCCAGTGAAATAACAACTAAAGATGGTCTAAATGAGGAAATAGAGGATGGGTTGTGTTTTGCAGACTGAAGCACACACTCATTCTTTCTTGTACTGGGTTACAGGTTGGTGAGAGTTGAAAATGGTCCAATTGAATTCAGTCAGGTTGGTTTTCTCTTGCAGTTGTACAAACCTGTTATGTTTTCTGTCAGAGGACTCAAACATCACTCTCCATGTAGTAATGGACAAATAAGCACATTGTTTTGAATATGATAAAAGATATTTTATTTTATTTGTAATGTTTTCACTTTTTCAGGTGTATGTCTGTATGACTGTGTTTATGTATGCTACATGTATGTAGGTGCCTGAGGAGGCCAGAAGAAGCTACCAGGTCTCCTAGAGCTTGAGTTATGGTCAATTGCGAGCTGTCTAATGTGGGTACTGGGAAATAAACTCTGGTCCTTTAAAAGAGCAGCAAATGCTCTTAACCATCTTTCTAGTCCCACACTATGAGTTTTTATGAAACATTTTTTTAATCAAGCATTTAGTCATACTTTCGTGTATAAGCAGAGTCTAAACAAAGTCTTGTAAACAGTAGGGATTTAAGGAGTCCCTACGAACAATATGAAATATTTCTCACCCTTTTTAGATTTAATAATATACCAGTGCATAGCCATGGCATTAAAGATGCCCGTAATACATTAAATTACTGTCAATGATCATGTCACTTTGAATGCTTTATTGAAATATGAGCATTTGTGATTCTTTGCTTTCATGATCCCAGAACAAACTGCCCTCTGCACCGAAAGATTTCCTTTGCGTTATGCATTGGAGGTTTTCTTGTAAGAGATGGTTTCCTTGCTAGATGAGGCAGATAGGAAGGCCATGGCTGCCTTAATGCACTGGCGGAGGAAAAGTCAGGCTACCCTGGTCCTTGGGGACAGGAGCACCTTTTATTTCCCTTTCCTTCCCTGGTCTTAATTAGCATTGGTGATTCAGGCTGGCTACATTTTTCATCCAAGTTTTTCTTTCAAGTTACCAATCAATAACTCGTTAATGAGGCCAGAAAAAGAGAACGAAGCATTCTTAAATGTCCACTCCCACTCCCAGAAACAAACAAACAAGCCTGGAGCTTCACAGAAGAAATCATTCAGCTAGCAAAATTGTGTGGTTGCTATGAGGGAGGGCAATTGATTTAGTGGCGAGGGTTGTAAGACCTTTAAGTATTCAATTCAATGTAGTACATCAAGTGTTGCTTTAAGTAGTATTAATATTTGCATTATGATTTTTCAATTTCATCTTCACGACATATCACATAATACAGTCTTAATAAAATGCTTCTCAAGCAATAGTTCATCCTAGGAGCCATTAATTCAATGTTCCCTAGATGGAGTTCTTTAGATGAACATTACACTTTGGATTCTCCAAAGGAGCGGATCCTGCATCTCCAATGCCGGACGCTGATCCTTAGTGTTCATGCAGATGCCAGAGAGGACCATTTGTACGTCGGTGCCATACATTTAGAAAATAAAGCAAAAAAAGTAAAAGAAAAGAAAAGAAAAGAAAAAAAAAAAAAGGTGAGGTCTCAGTGCATAGTTCAGAGCAATGACCACTAGGTGGCAGAAGCGCTCCTTCCGCCAACTGGGCCTCGCCTGGTGTAATTAGGTCAGTGTAAGTTAAAGTAGGGCTGAGAGATGAATAAAGTAGATTTTCTCCTCTGGAACACACTGCAGTTTAATTTCACTTCTTTCTACAATGTGCGATGAAGGTGGACTTAACTTTTAAAGGCAAAGGCACAAGCCACTGCCAGGATAAATGAAAAGACGCTGAGGGGGCGACGGGCACCACACAGGAGAGGAAATGCTTTCTGGCTGGTTCCTAATTTTCATATCCGGGTCATCGTCAGAAATCATTTTCAGAGGTAAGGTGATGAATGTTTTATGGAAGGAAGAGGTGACTTCTGAAGCCCAAAGGGGTAGGCTTGCTGGTTGCTTTTAAAAATTCATTCCCTTTATTGGTGATCCATTCAATAAAGCTATTTTATCCTTACTGCTGTTTTTTATTCATTTACTTATTTATTTCCCCCTGATTTTGCCAGCAGCCAGAAACATGTTAATCTGAGGGAGAGCTCCATACTCCCACACAGACTTCCCTTTCCTGCGGAGTGAGCCAAGAAGGAGGAAGTGGTCCTGAATGTGAAAGTTGAAACCTTCTGTTCTTCAGTCTTGGTGGCTCTGGGAAGGATAGAAATGCCTCCACACAGGGATCCCAGCTCTAGTGCTAAAAATGCAGCAGGCCACCATGAGTGGCTTCCCCATCCAGAATCATGGGGGCGGCTTACATGTCACTTACATGAAGGACAGTAGGAAATGTGAACAATCACAAGAAAAATCTACCCTTTACCTGGTTGCTGATCATGGCATTAAATATCCAAGATTGGCTTTTGGCTTTGCTTTCTTGTTTGCTTTGCTTTGTTTTGTTCTTTAAGCAAATAGGGGTAAATGAGATCAAAGTTATACATATTCTAAGTAGAAATATTACCTGATTTTAAATTATCTAGAATTTGGGTGTATCTAACTGGTTTCAATGTGGTTTCTTTAAATCACAGATCCGGTCACAGGTCATGCCAAACTCAAAGAGAAAGGAAGGGCACTTGGTAGCATAATAACAATAAAAAAAATGTGTAAACTGTTGTGATGATGAGAGAGAAGATCAGCTGAGCACAAAGAGGTGTCTCAGGCAGGATAAGATCCTCCAAATGATTTCTTGGTTTTCAGATACGATTCTAAAGTAGGAGCTGAGTACCTCTGCACAGCTCTCCAGCATTGTCCAGCTGCCAGTGCCTGTGTTACCCCCAAATTTCTTCCACCTTTTTGTCAGTACCTCAGGTTTGTTCAGGCTGCTTCCCATCTGTAGCTACATATGACACGATGACAGAATCTATGTGCTATTCTGTGTTCAAATGTTTGTCTCCAGAATCACAGTCACATTAAATCTATGTGTAAACATGATATATGACTGAATTTTCTGTGCTGTAAATGATGTCCTCCGTATGTCTCAATACTGTAGGAAAGGGGGGGAAAGGAACAATAAAGACTGATGGAGAGTAGATTAAGAAGCACGTCATAAAAAAATCTAAGAAAACCTCTTGGACTCTTGTTTTAAGGTGGAATCAGTAAGCTGTACCTTCCCATTCCAATGAATTATCCTAACAGCTCGATTTACTGATAGACTGTAGTTAGGTATGAGACAAACAGTTACTGTACTGTTGAAGACATTCGAAGCAGAAAAGAGTCAACAAATTATAATTTACAAAGACCCTGGACCAATCTCAGAAATACATATCTCAGAGATCAGATACAGTCTTATCCTGAAATATCATTGCTAGTTAATCAGAAGTTGTTGAAAGAATGGAGTATAAACAAAGAATAAACACAACTACATAGACAGGATGAACCTTAATTCAAATGTTTTATTAGAAACCATAATTTCTTTGTGAAATGTATCATCTTTACCTTTCCATTTGTTTGTTTTACAATGAAATATCAAGTAAAATTTAAGTAAATAAATATTTTGGTCATTGTGAAGTGAGTAATGTCTTCATTGTTTTTGAAGCTATAAGCATATTTTACCCAAGTCTGCAAGGTAGAGCTAGAAGCAGCATGGACTATCATTGGATGTAGGATATAGCAGAGGGCGTGATTTGTTAGTGAGTACAGGCAGATTATCTGGCCTCCTGGCAGCTTGTTCTCAGTTTTCTTTTACTATTCTAACTTGGACTCATTGTTTCTCTCATCCTGCACTGCATGCATCCCAGGCCTTCCATTGTTGTTTACAGTTGTAGTTTGTTTATTACTAATTCTGAATTGCACTTTATTGACTGATTCTGGATGCACACTACTTTCACATGTAGACAGATCCTGAAGGACATACTGGGTAACAAATATATACATATATATATTTTATCTTTTTGATACACCAAGAATAGTATAAACTGAAGTCTTAGGCTAACATTTTCTGTAGTATTGCATAAATATCACCATTGATCCTCATCATCTTTGCCATCCTTTGATATATCTATCTTTTTCATTTTTAACCATTATGTTTTATAGAAATATGAACAGACCAGTTAGATGTTTAAGATAAAATAGATGGTAGAGCCAGATAGTTAATTCAAAATAGCTTACTTTTTTTTCCAAAGAATTGGTCAACTTTGTTTTGTCTGATCACATCCTGTCTGCAAAGGAGTATTATGATTTTTATGTTAAAAAATTATAAAACTGAAATTTTCAAAGGAAGTGAATGGCCTTGTAGTCTAGTATGTTTTCCTGTTGGTTTGAAAAGCCATTCTGACTAAAATCAACTTGGGAAAAGAATGAATTAATTCCGTTCATATTTCAAGGCCATAAGCTATCATCAAGGGACATCAGAGCAAGAGCTCCAACAGTAACTCAAGAGGAGGACATGAAAGAATGCTGCTTACTGGTTTGCTCACTGGATTATGCTCATCTAGTTTGTTTCTGTAGACCAACCCTACCTGAAAAGGGATGTTGCCAATCACAATGGGATAGACCCTCCCACATCAGTCAACATTCAACGCAATCGCTCACAGAAATGGCCACAGACACATCAGGTCCAGGAATCCCTCAACTGTGACTCCCTTAGATGACTCTAGGCTGTGTCAATTTGACAGCTGAAGCAGTCTGGGACTCCTTGTGGTTTTTTTAATATATGAACACCAAATTAATGATCGATTTCCTTTGCTATTCAGTCAGAAATGAGGATAAAGCAGGTTAGAAGATAACATTTAAAAATAGAGTTCATTATGTCTCTACTACTCATTCTAAATTGAACACCCAGAAAGAAGTGAGTCTCATAGAACAAGAAACATATTTTTTGTTGTTCTATGAAACTCACTTGAATTCCTTGTATTCCCATATTATATATTCTTAAACAGAGTTAAGGGTTACCTAAGCTGGAAATGTCTATGTGCAAAGCAATATATATTCAATGCATGTGTTAATTTTATGTATAGATCTATCACACAATGTGTGTGCTAACCAATACACACCAACATGGAAGAAAAAAAACCTTGAGATTTAATTCTAGCGCTTTCTGTAGAACTAAAATTTAAACATCAGAGCAGGCTATTTCTTTGTTAGTTCAGCATAGTTTTCAATGTCTTCCATGTGACCACTGGTGTCTCCTGGCAAGAGACTATGAAGTAGATAGAGATAACATTCATCCACTTTGTCAGAGTCTTGGGCATAAGACTGTGAGATCATAGTTCAGAGTGGGCAGGAAAAATCACCAGGAAGATGCTTGTGTGTATGCGGGGTGAAGGGAAAGCCCAGGTGTGATTTATTATCCTCTGTGTCACCTGCACCAACATGCTCAAACTCATAGAAGACATTTAAAGGAAATGGAAGAATAATGCGTAGGGCATCCTTAGGGGAGAAGGGTTTAAAGACAACTTTAGAATTTGCACTCTTTTTCATGAAGATGATTACCTTAATCTCAAAGACCATAGAATATTTAATCCAACTTCTTGAGAGATCACAATTAAAATTTTGATGCTATAATGTAAATATTCCCTTTATTTCTTATTGTGATCAGAATTTCATGTGATGAATTTTTTCTACATATTCTTACATGTATTTTGACATTTATCAAGTCATTAAACATGCCAGGGAGTAATTTGATGCCGAATTACATTAGTTGTAAATGACCTAAATTACATATTGTCTCTTTTAAGAGCTCAAGTAGTTGATTAATAATATTTAGGTTATTATGCTATTATATAGGTACAGTAAACATAAAATAGATATGTGGAGATTCTTAAAAGAAATTATTTGAAATGCAATATTCATATACCTATATATGAAGAAAATTTGGCCAGTTTTTATAAAAACTATTTGAACATCTAATTTGCTCTATTGTATATTATGCAGAGACAAACACGGTGTTTGAATAATTAATTAAGTCTCAGCTATCCTGTGTTCCATATGATAAAATTTCATAAGAATGTATTGTGTTCAATGTACTATGCACTGTGTTGGTCTTATAAACCACACGATTTACTGAGACCATAATACTGTTGTGAAGAATATGGAAAGCACTTGAAACAATTGGCATCTTAGATGTCTAATGACTATCTTTTCCAGTGTCTCCTAAGAGAAATTTGAATTATATTATCTAACTCTTTAAAATATTTAAATATGCCAACAAGTACTTTTTATTCAATTATTTCATATTCCTTAAAGATTGAACATTACATTGAAGATTCACAGGTATAGAATGAACACATAGACAGCTGTGCTTCAAAGCTATGGAAAAAGGTATTATTCTTTCATGGCAAAGAATTCAATCAAGTTTCAAGTACTAGGAGGTATTTTATTAGTCCTTACAGGTTTAATCAAGAAGTCAATGTCAAGTGCTTGATGTAGGACATAGCAATCCAGTCTTTTCCTTAATGCTGTATCTCAGCCCACCTTTTAAAACCATCTCAATGTGAGTACTTTTTAAAATTAGATTTATAAAAGAATTTGAAAGTGAAGTAGCACAATTGTTTCAAGTCTTCAAAATGAGTGAGGAGTGTGCAGACAATTTTTGTACTTTCCTGCCAATATTTGATTACAATTCCTGTCAGGAACCAGCATTTCTCATTGCTGAGTAAGCAGATTGATGGAAATTGTATGTAATGAAAAATTTAAAAACTTTTGAATGACAATGGCTGTACAACTTCTTATCCTTTAAGTGGTGTGTGTGTTTGTGTGTGTGTGTGTGTGTGTGTGTGTGTGCATGTAGAGGGTGAAAGTGTGAATCTAAAGAAGTTAGAGGACATGAAAACAGCCTGTTCTTGAGGAAACCACGTCAATAGTTTTAGGATTAGCAACCCTTTACTTAAAAAGCAAAGGATGTTTTCTGCTTTTGTTATTCATTGCCTTTCATCTAATTACTTAGCATTTTCGTAAATAAGACATCACAGTCTAAAGTTACTGATTGAAGGAACATGCTATTGACAACTGGGATTTTCAGAATTTGATTCTCCAATTTTAATGAAACATGATCACTACAACAAACGTGTCCTCACATGCAGCCTTCAGCATTCTCTGGAGATTAAAAAGAAGCTTTGAGAGATAAACATCAAACTGAAATCTGATCTCTAGGCACTCTGAATTGTATCTGTCCTGTACTCCCATATGGTCATGGTAATTATTACAGAATAAAGACTTTATTGTTTTACAACAAACATTTTACTTACTGAGGCGAATTTACTGCACCTATATATTGGTATTATTTTAAACTATTTAAAAATGATATTTTACTGTTAATATTTTTAAGGAATGCTCTTGTACTTTGATCTACATTATCTATCTTTCTTCTTGCTTGTCCCCCATCAGCAGGCTCTTATGCATTATTAGTAAATTATTTTGTTGATCATTGTCCCAGGAAATGAGTCATGTATCCATATGCTCAATGTAGATATGGGATGCTTGAAAATGTGAGTTCAAGGGGTCAGCTCTGTCAATTCAGTTTGGAACTCATTCACCTGTGTTCTAAAACATTACATTTTTTTTAAATCAAAAGAAATTTCATATGGACAAATGAATATACAGTATATCTGTGTGATGACAACACCAGCTGACATGCTAATGTGAATGGGGAAATATCACAGGCCCCCACCCAGATTCTATTGAAAGAATCAGTCTTCTCCAAGGATAAAATACTCCTAAGTTTTCCAATTCCATGTAGTCATTCTAAAACACATATACATATGAGTAATAATATATATATATATATATATATATATATATGTGTGTGTGTGTGTGTGTGTGTGTGTGTGTGTGTGTGTATTTGAGTGTGTAAAAGTTATAAGTAAAGAATGGTCATGAAGAAATAGAGGAGACAAAGGAAGGGAGGGATGGGTTGGTATGTGTTGAATACAAAACTTGTATACTAAATTTCTCCAAAATAATTAAAATTATTTTTAAAAGGTATTTTATATTTGGGGTAAACATGAATACAGAAGGTACAAATGACAACTAAATAAGGAAGACACAATGTAATCATAAAATTCACAATGAAAACAGAAGTCAGGAAAGTAAAATTGAAACAAATTCACAGAACAGAAAACAGCAAGCCAGCTGGCACCTTTTGATCTATGTTCATAATTACTGTAGATGTAAACACATCAATTGGAAAAAGGGACACAAAAGCAAGACTGAAGTATGTCCTGTCACAGGAGAGTAAAGATGCATGAAAGCTGAACGCAATGTGGTATTTTGGATTCAATTCTGAAACAGAAAAGAAACATTAGCTGAAAAGAATTGTTGTTAATGGAATAAAACATAATCTAAAAGAGAAAAAAAGTGTTTTTTCTTTCCAGAATGAAAATTACAGAGTAGTTCATAAGATTTGTTTTGTTTTACATCATTAATTTAAAAGAGGTTTTATTATATAGGCCATTTGAATATGTAACTTTGCTTACACAGTTAACAATTTTAGAACAGGACTTTAGCAATGGTTGATTAAGGAACTCATCAGGTATCTCTCCTCTCCAAATAGTTATTAAACTGAAAAAAAACTCA